CCCGCTTCCAACTCTGAACTCACTCCAATGCTGCCAAAATTCTTCAAGGAATTGCAGCTCGCAGAGGAGAAGAAACAGTTGCTGTATTCCTCCTGTATATTTTGTGTTAGTGCACCCAATGAAGTGGGAAGTGCCCAGGAGCTGTGGCTGCGCAGGGCAGGCAGGGGATGCTGTGCAGACAGGCGTTCGTGCCCTCTCCTGGTAAATACCTGAATCACGGCACTGCTGGAGCCACTTCAGGCTGGGTGGTGAGAAGGTGGCCGGGAGACTCCGCAGGGAGAAGTGCTGGAACGCTGTGAGCAGCTGTGCTGATCAGCACGGAGAGAAACTCCAAGGCTTCCCTGAGGTGTGGCTACTCCGAGCTCCAAGGCAGGAGGCAGAAGTAGCCCCATGCAATAAACTCTGCGTTTCCGACCTTGAGGACTGTTAGTAAATCCTTAATCCCTGCAAAATCATTTATTTGGGACTGTTTAGCTCTAAACTTTGAAATCAGAATGCTTAGCAGTCTTAAATCCGAAAGCTCATTAGCTCTCCTCAGCTGTGTTAATAACCATAATCTCTTTAATGGAAGCAACTCTGGACAGGATTTACCTTCCCAAAAAACCTTATTGACTGGCATTAAATATACTTCTGCCCTCTAATTCTTCCCCAATTAACAGAGAGCTGATAAAGAGTTGCTTTGCCTGGGGCACAGCCTGAGTCAGCTGGCAGCTCAGGACAGCCTGTGCACACCGAGAGCTTGGGCCCAAGGTGAAGGCTTTTCCCGACTCCTTGGCCATCCTGGGAGTTTGAAGCATTGGGAAGCTTATCCAAAATGGGTCAGGCTTATCAGTCAACTCTCCCTGGGCTCCTGTTTGGGGTTTATCTGGCTCTGCTGAGGTAAATACCCAGACAGGATGGATGTGACACACTCCTAGTGAAGCACCAAGAGATGTCAGTGTGTGCTCCCAGCTGGGAGGGGTTTCTTAGCCAGTGCTTCCTCCGTGTTGCCTCATAAGTATTCGGTTTAATCTGCTCCTCACCAAAGAGCTGCTCTTGTTTCTAAGATCTTTCTTGGTTAGCAACTTAAACAGCAGCAGCAACAACAAAAGAATAAGCAGTTTATCATTAATTTTCTATTCAAGGATTTTCCTTTCATCTCAAAGTTTCCTACATTTCACATTTTCTAACACATACTCACTCTGTTGTCTGCATTCCCTTTTTTCCTTTTATAACACTCTGTCTTTTTAATGGCTGCTTTGATTTCTACCATTTGTGGAAGAGGTTTCCAGCCAGGCTTGGCTTTTCTGCCTTGCAGCATCCCTGGTATCGTTGCAGCTTGTTGACACTCAGTGAACCCTGAACTCTCTGCTTCTGCTCCCATGTTTATCCACGTAATACTCCATAATTCCATTCATAGTGTTGGCTTGTGGACATTGACCTTTTTGAAGTAATAATCTGTTTTTGAGTGAATTGGGAGAGTGAAACTATGAGGAAGCCAAAAGTGTAAAACCAATCAATATTGACCTTTTTCCTGCTCTCCAAGGTTTTTCACAGCATGGCCTCAAACCATGAGTGTGGTGGTGACAGCAGACACAGCGGACACGGTTTCCAGAGGCCCCTGATTTCACTTCTTGCAGCAATGGAGATTTTCCTGCTGGATAATTTGGTTCCCCTCTTGTTATCTCGTACTGCTGATAACACTGGCTCAAACTGTCAGACCTGCTCTGCCGCTGAGGAGCTTGGAGAAGGTTTAAAGGGAACTGGATACAATACAATTACACTTCCCAGCTGACAGCTTTTGATAAGACAGCCTCAACACTGCTTCCCTCTGCTTTTGTTTGCCTTGTAAACTTTTCTGCCTTCCTCCATGCTGCTCAATTTTTTGAAGCCAAGGCTGTGGTTCAGAGAAGCAGCCACAAGAGAGGCTGAAGGAGCAGCTCAGGGGGGAGATATGGATCATCTTCAGCACCTTTTGTCCTTCTGGTGTGTAATAAACTATTTTGGATGTTGCAAATGGCCATTTGTATTGCTCTGAAAGGGGATAAAGCACTTGGGAGAGGGGTTAAGAGGGAATTTAGGTGCCTGGTGGCAGTCAAAGTAAGATAGAGGCTGGAGCTGCCCTGACAGGGGACCCCAAACTGCCAAGTTCCCTGCAATTTCTGTGAGGAAATGGTGAAGGAAACTCTTCGTTGTCTGCTCACATGGGTCAAGCAGCTTCCACCACCTGTCCTAGCCTCCCCCCACCTCCCTGCCCTCTATATTTACCCAGGGGGAACTTTCCAAGAATGGAAGTGGTAAGATAAAACCTCCGAGGGGCTAAAATTAGCCCCAGCACCCTGGGCCGGTCCCTGCCGTGGCATTTCAGCTGTGAGCTTGACAGCCTGTGGTGCACAGAGCGGCTGTCCATCTCCAGCACAGCAAGATCCTCTCTCTTTTACTCCTGTTTTTTGGTTTAAACCATGGGAGAACTTGCTCTGGGCCCCCCACAGCCTCACCTGCCCCAGCTGTGAGCATCTCCCACTTCCCGAGGTAAGGCACCACCAGGACCTCTTGGCAGCATCAGGAGTCTGAAGGTAACTGGTAACCAGTTGTACAAGTGTGTGTTCTCTGTCACAGCTCTTTTTTGGGGTGTCTGTGGTTGCTGAACAGCTTCTTTCACCTCAAGAGGTGACAGCTATGGGGGTGGTAAGGCACTGGCACAGGTTGCCCAGAGAAGCTGGGGCTGCCCCAGCCCTGGAAATGTTCCAGGCCAGGTTGGATGGGGCTTGGAGCAACCTGAGCTAGTGGAAGGTGTCCCTGCCCATGGCCAGGGGTGGAACAAGATGAGTTTTAAGGTTCCTTTCAAGCCAACCCATTCCATGTTTCTGTGAACTGTGGTTTGAGTTCTCGTTGAGGAACCTCTGTGAGCTCCCCATGCGAGTGCTTGTTCTAGTAACCTTCCTTTGGAGATGCTAGTTGTGTGTTCAGGAAATGTTACAGCTGGTTTTTAAGTTTTCCCAGACCATTTCCCTTGGCAACATAACTGGGAATCTAACTTCCTTTTTCCATCCACTTTGCAATAACCTCCCCACCCCATTAGCCACGCGGGTGGGGGGATCCCAAAGCTCCAGAGCTCATTATCAGTGTGTCTAATGAGTAACAGTAGTGTTACAATTTCGCACATTTCTGTATAAATTGGGGTAACAGGTGGGAGCCCAGCAGAGCTTTGCTGTCTCTCGCTGCCATCCGACTTGTCCCACTTAGCCCAGCTGTGCCGATGGCCTCACGCCGGGTCCCCCCGGGCTCACATGGGTCCCCCCGGGCTCGCAGGCTGTGCCACCACGGGCAGATGTGGGACGAGCCCCCCGTGACTGCCTCGGTACCGACAGGCTCCTTTGCAGAACGAGGCTAATTGCTCAGTGCCGCTCTTTGCCTCCTCCGAGGGCAGATCAGAGACTGAGTCCTGCCTCTGCCACCTCTCCCGCGGAAACACGAGATGCCACAAGGCTGGCAAGAAATTCCTCTGCCCATCCTGGCAAGCGCTTCCAGCTGCTCAGGTGCCGGCAGGGACATCACATTCCTGTCCCCTGCTGCTGCTGCATGGTCACTGAGGCCACATCCTGCACCCAACCAACATGTCAGGGTCCAGTCCGCGCTATGCTGCAATGAGCTCAGCATCCCCCCACCTCTTCCCCCCACCAGACCCTTTGTGCGGCCATGGTCCTTGGGAGGAGAGAGGAGAATTGTGGAATTCTAATGTTGCTGTCATTTTGGACAGGGTAAAAGTCCTCAATCAAACTGACCACTGTCACGTCATCTCCTGCTTTGAAATCTGATCCCTACAACAAGTGTCAGGGTGTAAAAGCTTCCAACACGGCTGACTTCCAAACTAGAACTCCTACGAGTTCCCCAAAACACTTGGAAGTGCAGGTGCTAGTGAGACCCCAGTGACCTTACCTCCTGGTGAGCAG